TAGACGTCGTAATTACTGCCATATGTGATTCTCAGACCTTGTCTCTTGGCAGGCAAGCCAGTCTTGTTGAACACGTAAGAACTGATAGACAGCAGATTTCATGTCATTCGATTATCTAAGTAATTATTATAGCGGTTGTGCTTACATAAAACGACAAATAATTAGGTGACGCCCACTACCGACCTGCTGTTTCTTGATTGGTGGATAATGGAGTGGGCGGGACTTGTGCTGCATTACCATGGCACTGATTTAGCCTTAATGTGTACAGATGTTTTTGATTAAACACGCATTCTGCGAAAATATTACTGGTGATGTGTTCATATGTAAGAACTGGGATATGTTTCGAATTTATTGAGTAGGAGAAAACAAAACCAACGTGAACGGTTTGCGCAAATTCTCTTTGTGTGGATGTTTTGTTTGTTTGTGTAAGTAAGCGTATGTGCGTGCGTGTGGGTGCTTGCTACTACAAGTTCGGACTAATGCAGTTTTAATTTGCTAACCAACTGAGATACCAGGCTACGTTTTACCAGGACATTAGCTCCGCGCCATCTTTGCTTCATCCCCTTCATCTAGAGCCGGGGCGGTGGTTTAGCCTATAGTCCGTTTGGCTCAAAATCGGACCGATGAATTGCAATCTAACTCGAAAACAACTAAACATAGAATACTCAATGAAACACTAATCATAATAATAACATCAGACTAACTCTGTGACTTTTTTGCAGAATTTATGACCTAAAACTAAAACAGTTGTTTAACAAACTTTCATTAAAATTTTGACACAGTTCACTATTTGTTACGAGGGAGGAATGCAAAGGCAGGAACAGCCAGGTGTACGTATAACACGTGCCCAAGTGCCGACAAAGTTATTGATTCATTTACCTGTGCTGTGCCGTCTCCATCCCTTTTTGCACACCTGGCTGTTTCTCTCTTTGCACCCCTCCCTCGTAACAAATAGTGAACTGTGTCAAAATTTTAATGATAGTTTGTTAAACAACTTTTTTATTTTTAGGACATAAATTCTGAAAAAACACACGGAGTTGGTCTGGTCAGTGTTTCATTGAGTACTATATGTTTAGTAGTTTTCGAGTTAGATTACAATTCATCGGTCCCATTTTGAGCCAAACGGACTATAGTGGTTAAAGCGTTCGCTAGTCACGCCGAAGGCCTGGGTTCGATTCCCCATATGGGTACAATGTGTGAAGCCCATTTCTGGTGTCCCCCGCCGTGATATTGCTGGAATATTGCTAAAAGCGGCTTAAAACCATACTCACTCACTCACTCTAGAGCCAGGCAGGGTAACAATAAGTACCATCTTTTAACGCTTTTGGTATGAGGAGGCCTTCAACCACCCACTCTCTTGCCCTATCTAAGGGATTAAGCTCTATCCACTGAACCACGTCGATTATATAGAAATAATATTCCGAGATGTGTATCAAAGTGATACGAAAACAGATATAACAGTGATATAAACAGATATAAGAGTTTTCAAAATAGGATAGGATGGCCATGCCATGTGACCTTTTGGTTTTATGTCATCTTCATTAGTTGTCCATGCTATCAACCACTAGCGCCCCTGAAACATATCACCCCTGAATATTATTTCTATGCAATCTACGTCGTTCAGTGGTTAGAGCGTAATCCCTTAGGGTTTTAAACATGGAAAATATCTGAAAACAGATATAATTGTTTCAAAATGATAAGAAAACATATAATTGTGATGGATCTTACCGAACGTTAAAATGTTACTTTAAACAATAGATTATATGGTCTCTGTGTTAATATTCGGCTTGTTTACAACGTTTCTGTAACAGAGACAAGTCCACGTGGTGCCCTGTGTAGATACCACAACCAACACTGACAGTCTGTATTATTTATACATGTCAGAGTACCACAAGGTGTGATTTGCGTGTCCCGCAGCCATGTGCAGCCTGTGTGTTCACCATGCACCCAACAACAGCCCCTCCCCCGAACCTGGGTTACATCATCGTTATCGCTACTTTCCACTTAACTGTGTACACAACCATTGGAATTAACTGGACATGTGTCTACATGTTTTCCCGGTAGACGGCGCTAGCACATCCCCACCACACTACGCCACACAGCAAGATAGCACTTGGTGATAAAGTTCGCTGTTCTGCCATGACATATTCATCCGGAAGTGTAGATTAGCAGCGTATGTCCCAGTCTGGTTCTCTGGGTAGGTAGCGTTTACAGAGTAGCGCAAGCGCAGCCTCTTCAGGAAACCAGGTTGCATGTGTCATACTAATCTTGTAAGTGCACGTGTTAGAGGTTATTATAACCTCGAGCCCAAACTTATTAAGGATGATCTCGGACGATCCTATTCACAGAAATAACATAAATGCCCTATTCTATTTGTTGAGATTGTGGTGTTGTTGTCTACTTCAAATGTTCGTTAGCTGCTTTGCATCCACAAAGTAGACTTAAGCGTGCACACCTTTCACACAAATGTTGAAAGCTGTCGATTAGCACTTGGGGGTGATTCTGGGTAAACATTTTAATGACATTGGTGTCTGTAATGCTGCAAGCGACAACATTCTTACTTTATTGCGGCTGACTGCAGATAATCGTGCTTTGGTTAGGGGCGCTAGTGGTTGATAGCATGAACAACTAATGAGATGACATAAAACCAAAAGGTCACATGGCATGGCCATCCTATCCTCATTTAGCCGTTGAGCAGTGAGGTGAGGTGAGGTGAAATTGGGTTTAACGTCGTGCTTGAGAATATTTCGCTCATATGACGACGTGCATGCGTGTGTATGTGTATGTGCGGCTGCTTGTACTAGCCCAGACTGCTTAGGCTGGTTTTATAGTGCTAGCCCACTGGGATACCACGCCGCAGTGAAGCATGAATACCCCACTCAGACACATTATACTGACTCCGAGCCGACCAGTCCTTGTTGTACCCATTAATGTCGAGCGCCAGGCAGGGACCAACAAGTACCATATTTTAACGTCTTTTGGTATGACGCGGTCGGGGATCGAACCCGCGACCTTCCGCTCTCCGGGCGGACGCTCTTACCACTACACCACGGAGTGAGCAGTGGAATAAGTATAGGAGTATATGGTTTTATGCTGATGTTTTTTAACATTCACCCAGTATTACAGCTGGTGACACCAAAATGGGCTCCAGACAGTGTAGTCCATGGTTTGGAATCGAACCCGGGCATCTCGATCGAGCTGTACCTGGGCACCCAGTGGTTAATGTAGTGGACAGCGATCAATATGTCGGGAACGGTCTCAGGCTTCAGTTCCTGTCTTCCGTCTGTGCGTCTTTGTTACATGGAACAGACAACAAATTACAGGCAGTTGACAACAAATTTCGTGGAATCGACAACAAATTTCATGTTACCGACAACCAATTACAGAGAGGACCGACAAAAAAGTTTCATGGAACCGACAACAATTTACATAGAAAGAACAACAAATTTCATGGAACCGCAAACAAATTTCATGTTACCGGCAACAAACTACAGTGAACCGACAACACAATTCATAGGCCCGACACAAAAGTTTCATGGAACCGACAACAAATTACATAGAATGAACAACAAATTTCAAGAACCGACAACAAATTTCAAGGAATCGACAACAAATTACATGGAACCGACAACAAATTACATGGTACCGACAACATTTTACATAAAACCGACAGAGCGTATACTCTTTCATCCATGTTCAGTCGTCAACACTGCCGTATCTACCTCATAAACGTCTCAAGGTAAATGTGGTTCATGCATGCGTTCTCATGGCTTCAGCATGTCTATCTGACCGTAATGTATACTGCCCCGATGTATTGTGCTTGACCTGCCCAAGTGATGCCATTTACTCGCTGGCACGCAATTACCATGGAAACGAAACACTGTCATTCCGTTTTCGGACTCGAAGAGTAATACAATGACTATAATATCACCGGCTTGTTAGGTAAGGGTAATGTATCCGGTCGCTTGAATGCCATGGCTCGAACAGTAATTATTGTTAGTTGTACGGACAATAGCATACTATTTCCAGGCCAACTAATTAACTGCCCGTATTTTCATTGATACCTTGTGCTATTTTGGGTGAGTTCTTCAAGAGTTGTGGTATTGTTATTAAAAACGTAACCATTATATCTTACGATTTAATTATGAGAGGGTCATTCTCGAGGAAGTGGTAAGCATAAGACATTCAATGGTATTCCATGAGGCCATCCCTTTGAGGGTGCTGCCGATAGGGTTGGGGTGCGAGGCAGGTGTATGGGGGAGAGGAGGGATATATATACTAGTAAATTTTTAATAACCTCCCCAACCCTCCAAAACAACAACAAAAAAAAAGCATCCAAAAACTTAAAAACAACACACACGCACACACGCAAATGTACACACAAAACAGCCAAAAAGGAGGCAAACTGTTTCCGAATATCCTCAAAGACAATTATATAGAAAATGTAATTTTCAAATCGTATGCCGGGCGCTCAAGATGTTCAGGAAATGATAATGTTTAAGATACAAAAACGGAAAAAGATGCTGCCACACTAGCTCGCCTAAACGTTATTCCGTATAGCCAGATGACAGTAGTCACCTCGTTTCTGCCATCAACCGTTGGCTGCCTGAACAAATAGTCTGTGTGAATCATCAGAGGCCCCCTCACAAGAACATTTAATGCTCGGTCTCTACACGTTAACTCGTGTGTTCTGAAAGTGTGATATTCGCTATGTTATTTACAGTCTTGAGGTATACCATTAATAGAGATGGTTTCACGTATAAGTTGATCGAGAATTACAGAAGCTCCCGTCCTTTTGTTTCCAAATAATGAACTGCAGTCATTTGGCTGGGGAACTAGAATTCTATCTTTTCACCATTATTACAGTTATTCAGGTCGACCAGAGAATCAATTTAATGTTGTTGTTTTACCACGAACATACACGTTACATTAGAGCAAATCCCGTCGTGATTCTATGATTCACCCTGACTATAATCCTTCGTTTGTCCACTACCAAACACCCGCTCGACGGTTTCACTAAAGTCGTCAACGTTTGGGACCTGCACCACTTGGGGCTTTACGTCCTTATCAAGCGGACAAGCTAAACCTTTATAAATGGAATTCTGTTCAAGGCGTCGTTCAATAGAACTTTCTCAATAACTCACTCACTGACATCGTGTAACACAGTTAACGCAGCAGAGCCTTCGAGGACACCACTACGTTTCCATGTCAACATGCAATGCTGAATGCTGGACAGTTGGACATATTTACCGTAGCGCGGTGCTAAGAGTTGTACACGATGTCATTTATCCGTCCGTCGATACATCCATTAGACAGCTGGATGTAGACGCGTGTCCCTGAATACACCGTGAACATAGCTCCTGCAGCAGCAGCAGCTTCCGCGTCCTCGTCTCACAACTACAACCACACCTGCTGTAAGTCATCAAATTAGACACAACGATGACTCACTACCTATCGTTGGTAGAACAGATCTGAAGTTAAGCGAATATATCCCAATACAATGTGTATATACTGGCTGGCAGAGTATGGTTTTACGCCGTTTGTAGCAATATTCCAGCAATATCACGGCGGGGGACACCAGAAATGGGCTTCACAAGTTGTACCCATGTGGGGAATCGAACCCGGGCCTTCGGCGTGACGAGCGAACGCTTTAACCACTAGGCTACCCCACCGCCCCGTGTATATACTGAGCTCAAGTGTATGAGTGAGTTGACTTTAAAGGCTCCACATTTCTTTTCACATAAGCATTGCTCAAAGAATTACTCATGTTAAAATATAAAAAAAACGCAACCCAAACACATCTAAACATAGCCTGTATATAAACTCTGGAACATGTACTTGTTCAAATGAACAAAAATTTTCATACATATGATGATCACCTCCATTATGCAGATCCTGGTGCCCTAAGGGCCGTTATCCTAATTGGTCGTTTGTTTAAACACATGATTTTACTGAGAACTATACCGCCTCCACTGATCAACAACACAGATCGATGCTTCTGATGTCAATCACACGATTGTCTGGTCCAGACTCTATTATTTACAGACCGCCGCCCTACTGATTAGGGTGGCTTTAAGCAACAGGGTATTTTGGGGCTGCATGGTATTACAAGACTCGTCTTTTGTTAAACTTCTCAAGGACCCAAGTGAAGTTTCGGGAAATCAAAATTTTGTGCATTGACAATTAACTTGATCGTAGTGGAACAGCATCTTTTCTGAGAATTTGCTATTTTTGTATTCTTACTTCAGCGATTTCGTTTTCCGATTTGAGTTGCTTTCTGCTATTTGTACACTAAACTGTACTTATGTCGATCGTTTAATTGTTCATTACGAATTCGTTAATGCTCAAGTACCGTTTCGACGATGGCAGATAAGGTTTAGATAAACATGCATACTTGTCCTCACCCTGAATAGTGATCTATTCACACTCGAGTTAGAAAAGAATTCCGTCGAGAAGTCACCAATAATAGCCAAGAATACGTACATTTCTAAAGGCATCATCAAAAGTCACCATCTAGAACTGTTAAGTACACCATCCATCCACCAATAACAATAAAATACCAACAAAGTGGTCAAATCGTTGACACGTTGGATGTGCTGTGGCTATGTGTGCACAAACTTCACTTACCTTGATATTGACCTTACCTTAATGTTTCTGATTACTCACAGCATGTAGCGGTATACAGTCAAACGATCCCTTTATACTGTCTATACGAAGTCCTGTTACGAGCAACAGGTGCGGCCCAAGTCGGCGGAGTCGTTTATGTCTACCACGTTGGCTTTGGCGTCGTTCCTCTCACGGTTCTCCTCCAAAATCACTAATCTTCTCGCTTCATATACAACTGATATTTACTGTGTAAACACTTCCAGCGCCCGGGGCAAGGCTTGTACCAAGGTGCAAGTACATTGGTGAAGATATCAAGATAAATTCAAAATATGAAGTTTCGGAAACCAGTATCAATGGTGGATCTGTATTTACTCTCAGTAGACGGGTAGTACCCGTCCTTGATTCCGTCTTGCAGACCTTGGAAAGTCTGTTTGTTTTGTGAGTATTAAAGAGATGCAGACAGCAGTGGTGGTGCTCCTCTTTCTGACTTTTTCACCTGATGGAGAACTCAAAACAGACAGGAAAGATGTGTGCTCTGTATCTGATTATTCTGGGGCGGGGGGTAGCCCAGTGGTTAAGGCGTTCGCTCGTCACCCCGAAGCCCCGAGCGCGCAACAATGTCCCCTGTTGTGATATTGACGGGTATATTGCTTGCCAGGCGTGAAAACTCGCCCGTACTGGTTTCAGTACTGATTCTGGAACTATTTTTAATGTGTGTTTAATTACATAACAAAATTGATGAAATTTGTTTATCACGAAATATTCTGTTTACTTTTACAGGAAAATTGGTGCTTGTCTATATGTCGCCTGGTATGATCTAGATTATCCGGTGATAAGACCATTCTATTACAAAAACTTAGTTTCGTGTTGAATCCAATTCCAACGGCACAACGCTAGAAAAATAGTGGTGGTGGTAGTAGTAGTAGTAGTAGTAGTAGTAGTAGTAGTAGTAGTAGTAGTAGTAGTAGTAGTAAGTAGTAGTAGAGTAGTAGCATCAGCATCAGTAGTGGTAGTAGTACAAGAAGTAGTTGGAGTCGTAGCAGCAGCATCAGTAGTGGTAGTAGTAGTAGAAGCATGTTGTTTTGTTTGTCTATTGTTTAACACTGCACAGAGCAATATTTCGGCTATGTGACGGTGGTCTAAACCTAATCCAGTCTCTCCACATAATCTAGTGATTGATATCATGAGCATGAATCTACGCAATTGGGGAAATGGAGAAAAGATGACATGCACCAATACTGTCAACGTGTCTGACTCCCGATCACGTTAATCGCCTCTTACCACCCAATTCCATGGGTAGTAGTAGTAGTTGCAGTAGTTGTAGTAGTAGTAGTAGTAGTAGTAGTAGTAGTAGTGGTAGTAGTAGTAGTAGTAGTAGTAGTAGTAGTAGTAGTAGTAGTAGTATTAGTAGTAGTAGTAGTAGTAGTAGTAGTGGTAGTAGTAGTAGTAGTAGTAGTAGTAGTAGTAGTAGAAGTAGTAGTAGTAGTTCCTGTCCTAATTCAGGGGTCAATTCGGTCACCAGGTCATGTACAACCAACCAGCCAACCAACCAAATAACATACAAACACAAACAAACAATTAGTAGCCGTGGCGGAAGTTGAAGAAACAGGAGCAATTATAGTAGTAGGGATGCATTCATTTTCATCAGCACACTGGTTTTCTGGGTTGACTGCGCTTGCGCTACACTCGAACCAAGCTGTGGTATTTACTTTCTTAGCATCCGTGAAATAGTCTAAGACATTACATACAGTGAGGAAGGGTTCGTCCCTGAAAAGCACAAAGCGTAAGTTAGTCTCTCGAGAAAACATAACTGTCATTTGCTGAGGGATTGGGCGAGAAAATGCACTTCGGAAGGGAGATAAGCGAATGTTTCTACGTCCTTGACCTGCAAACGACCGCTAATTAATTTTCTGAACCATTTACCAAATGGAATCTGGTGGTAGTTTATATGTCAGTATGGGCACGGTTGAGTAACGAGTTGCACTTTAAAGGTTAAAGATGTGGATGAAAATTGAATCATCTCTTTATTAGATTCCTCATCCTCTTGGTGCCAGAAAAATGGTGTCGGCGGAGCTCTTGGAGCGTCTCTGGTAAAGGAAGAACCGTTTCAAGAAGAAAACCAGATATGGGACCACAACACGTGAAGATCCTCAGATGTACAATAAAGCTGCTGTTTATCATGAAAACGCATTGAACATGGCCGAGAAGGCCATTGACTGTTGTATTACCGGGCGAACATAGGTAGAATGCAAGACCGAACTGGATTTGTTGGTCTGTGAGGCGTTACCAGCTCTACAAACAATGAACGTATCCCACTAAAAACAGATGTACGATAGTTTTAGTGGTAAGATCAAGTTTATACCGCTTTTAGTAATGGCTTTGCAATCCCACGACGGAGAATAGAAAGAATGGGTCATATTTAACATGTGCGGAATTGAACCTGGATCTTCAACGTAATAAGCCCACCCTTTAACCACTACCCCACCACACAAGGAGTAAGTCATGGGGCGTGGTGGTGTGTAGTGCAGTGGGGTGGTGGACATTGTGGGGGTGGGTGGAAGGGGCATCTGAGACAACACGGACGGTCGGAAGTTCGGGAGGGTAATTTAAAAACACAGGGTACGTTCCAGATTGGGATTGTAGATGGATTCAAGAAAGTGTACACATGACTGTATATTGTATACTAGTTTGCAGAAATAATTATACTATTAAGGCCACTTACATAGCGCTGAACTCCACGCCGCACGGACATGCTCTAAGTGCATACAACTTGGTGGACATTACGTACTCCAGATAACCCATGCTGCCTGTGATAGACACATGACTTATCCCATCGGGTACCCATTTTCTTCTGGGTAAACAAGGGCAATTTTGAACAAACTCACTTGCCTAAGGTGAGACCACATGTATCGCATGTGCTTCGTTGTGTGGCAGGACAGAAAAGTCCTAGAAATTCTCAGGACTCAAGCTGCCAAACACGGTCACCAGTCCAAGGACTCTCCGTGACCAACGTTGCCTAACGTCAACTGATTGGTGACCTGTGACCTGTGACCTGTGCACAAGACCACACACCACCAGAAATAATATTAAATGACCTTACTGTGTGTTAAAATCTTGTAAGTCATATGTGTCATGTAAAATTAAATATCGACCTTCCTATGTGTTAAAAGTTTATATTTCGTTCTTGTCAGATCAAATCAAGTATATTTGAGTTTTAAGCTTACCCACTCTTGACCTTGACCTCACTAAAAAATTACAGCATCAACTATCAGGACATAACTTAAATAAAAAATCCGAAAAGACACTAAACCAGCTGAAGTTTTATTTCCGAGTTGAGTGATACATGGTCAATAAGGCGTATTTCAGATTTCAGGCTTCGTGTTCCTGATAAAAAAACGTCAAAAGCTCATATTAATCTGAGCCTCTCTAAATAAGAGTGTTTATACATGCTCTACAAAAGTTTATAGGGAACAGTGAGATCGGACAAATGTTCGTTTAATTGTTTCATTGATCAAATCACGGTGAAATATCGCCAACCAACGTCCTGCAATAAGACAATTCTTGGGGTTTTATTCTTCTAAAATAATAAAATCACACATGCAATGGAGGAAAACATCAAACGCTTTGTCTTAACTTTCAATTGCCCGCTCTAAAGATCACATACTCCCAGCGTAATATCCAGTCTCGGTTAAGAAAACCTTAGTTTCGTAAACGTAAATACGTCAAGCGGCTTAAATTGGGAAATTGTTACGATTCGCCAACGAACAGCTGTAGTCGTGTTACTTCAACTGTGGTTGTGCACACAACGGTGTTAACAATACCGTTATAATGGGGGTGGGGTATCTCTTCACGGGAGCTTAAAGTAACAGTGTATATCTCTCTCTCCTCAGTTCCTTGTTTTGACTGGTACCGTGAGGGGTTGCATGTGCACAATTGACGTGCATCCACATGTATTTGTAACGGGTTCAACGGAACGTGAGGATACGCTCACAATTTTGCCTATTTTATAGTGTTTCATATGCCAGTCGAAAAAAACAACTTATGATTATGGAAAGGATCTGTCGTTTATTTTAAAACTATTCGCTTTTCGACAAAATACATAAATCAAATATACAGACAGAAAGTAAGATATTTGTTATTAAGTCACACGAATAATACCATTTTATCATCGAGTGGAGATTTGTAATTGAATTGTGTTTTCAATATTTCGCTATATGAGACATTTGATCATGATGAGCTGATACTGTAGTACTCATTAACAAACAGCTCCTGATAGTCTGGACCCAAACCCAGTCTGTCCAAATGCCATCTGTCCACGACTAGTCCACAACGCTAAACGTGCGTGAACTAAAAGTCTCTTTACCACCACACCGGTCATATATTCATGACATCAAGCACTGCAATAGACGCTTGTTGTGTACCCGATCAAACGGGTTATTCTATTGTCTCTG